GTTGAGACACAAAATCAGCCATATACAGTGTGGGAAAGACATTAATCCCTCATAGCGAACTAAGCACTTCATGAAAGACCCACTTCCAACTCTGCTGTCATGACATGAACTTTCAATGAGAGCTTCAGAGAACACGCCCTATTCCAACAATATTTCCAACAGTAGCGCTCCACTGAAATGCTTGTGTATGTGCGCATGTGCCTCTGTGTGTGTGTGTGTGTGTGTGTGTGTGTGTGTGTGTGTGTGTACACCATGTACATGTGCTCACAGAGGCCAGAAGAGGACACCGAATCCCTCAGAACTGGAATTGCTGGTGGTCGTGAGCCACCATGTGGGTGCTGGTCACCCAATCCAGATTTTCTGCAAAAGCAGCAAGTGCTCTCCATCCCCAAAACATCTCTCCAGTTCCACTCTTTGATTTTTAAATTGAATAATGTGTGCTTGCTTTGGCAAATATAACTTTTCATATTACCTTACACACTTGAAATGGCCACCATGACCACTTCATACCTGGCTCCCATCCTCAGGGAAGAAAAAAACAAACAAAGAACTTGTATGCAAAGGTAGCAATGAAAATTTTTTAATATTTATACTCCAGTCCCAAATTTTATGGAATCGAAGAGGCTGGAGAGGCAGCTTAGTGGCAGATAGCCCAATGTTATGGTTGACTTTAATGTCAACTTGTCACCAACTAAAATCACCTGAATAGAGGCCCACCCAAAGAACTGTCCTGTTTACTTTAGTGGATACCGGAAGACCCGCCTCCCTTGTGAGTGACACCTTCTGGAATCATTTTAGATAAAAAGGGCGTGGCAGAAAGAATTGAACCCGCCCTCTGTCCGCCAGGCCTCACCTCTTGCCACGGAGCTGACTTACTCTGTTGTTGTTGCTGCTGCTTCCCTCATTGTGATCAGAGCCACTGTTTCCAGGCTTCTGTCATGGACTAAGGACCAGTGGTTCTCCAGGAAACTTCTAGGTTTACAACAACAGATTGGGACTGCGGAGGTACCCAGCCTTGTGGACTGAGCAAATAGTGGTTGCTGGCCTCTGCAGTGACAGGCACTGGGGGACAGCTCCAACCACTGAGGCACCAGCCTCAGGACAAAGCAGTTAATAGGTTCTCAGCCTCTTGGGTAAGAGTCAGCTGTTGTTGCTATTTTAATGTGATCTGACTTGATTGATTCATATATAACCCATACCCTGGGTTCTGTTCCTCTAAAGAACCCTCATTCACCCAGTGAATGCAAGTGCTGAGCCCCAGCCCCAGCACCAGAGAGAACTCAGGAGAGGAAGCTTTGTTATTGAGTCTGAGTGTTGTAGCACACACTGGTTATCCAGCCCTTGGAAGGTAGGATTATGACCGGAGGTTAACCTGGGCTGTATAACAGGGCACTAAAATAGAAAAGAAAAGTATCTAATATCTGTTTGATTGTTGAAATTACTTGTAATTGTGGGCATAATGTTTTAATTAGATATACATTTTTCATATTAAGAATTTCAAGATAACAATCTGCAAAACCCACTACGTTGAGGGTTACCTCATGACCAGCTGGGACACCGTGAAAAGGTCCATCAGGCACAAATAAAGATATCCAAAACCTGTGATATTTCTGTTTGGCTTTCCACCTAGAGCTGTGCCCTCACAGACATCATACTGCCATCCCCCTGCTCCTAGAGTGAAGGCTGCCTCCTAAGTGCTGGGATTAAAGGCAAGAGCCACCACCACCACCACCCAGCCTCTGCCTTCATTGTTAATGAGTAAATTTAGCATCGCCCAGGAGATGGGTGAGGCCCACTTCTGGGCTTGTTTGTGAAGGTGTTTTCAGAAAGAATTAACTGACGGAGAAAGACTCACCCTGAATGTGGCACATATCACCCATGTGATGGCCCCAGACAGAATAAAAAGGGGGGGGAAGAAAACCAACACTATGCTGGTATCCCTTTTTCTCCTCGTCCTGCCCACCCTGACACCATGCTTTAACCTGCTCTCATTAACCACACACACTTGATAAACTGACCCACCTGCAATCACAATCTGCATCCCAATCCTCCCTTAAGTTGTTTCTCTCAAGCGTTGTGTTGAGATGAGAAGAAAGCTAGCTAATGCAGTACCAGCATGCTATATCTTATTCAATAATTCTGGGAGGGATGCATGGGTGGTGGGTCTGTGGATGGATGAGTGGGTGGGTGCATGGGTGGGTGGATAGATGGGTGGTTGGGTGGATGAATGGATGGGTGGATAAATGGATGGGTGAGTAGATGGATGGATGGGTGGATGGATGGATAGATAGGTGGATGGGTGGGTGATTGGATAGGTGGACAGATCGGCAGATGGATGAACAGATGGATGGATGGATGGATGGATGAATGGATGGATGGATATTAGGTGAATAAGAGGATGCATGTGGCCCTCCTTCCCCTGTGGACCCAGAAGCAGCCTCTCTCCTAGAAGTTCATTTACAGCCTCCACATGGCTCCAGTCTGATGGGCCTGTGACACTGGAGGCCCAGTCTAGGCAGCTTCTTCCTTACACCTAATAGCCAGCCTCGAAACGGAATGACTCCCCTCTTCAGTGGGAGTCTCTCCCTCTCTGAGCAGCCAGCGCATGCTGCCAAGACACCCTGCATCTATAAATATGCCTTTCTAAATGTTAAAGGGTTAGAGCAATTTCCAAAGGTCTCTGCCTCCAAGGAGCCCTCAAATGATATTTAATTGAACTACTTTTGCCTTGAGAAGTGAGGAAACTAAAATGTAAAAGGTGGAAATGCTTCTCAGTTTTATGTCAAAATACAGGATTCTAGATAAAATAATGGAAAAAAGAATGTCCTGTTATTAAACTTGCGGAAATGAACATAAACAGCTCAACCAAGCAGAGCCGAGTATAGGATTTTGTGAGGTGATTGGAAGAAAAAGGATCTCCTTTTAAACTCTATCTTCAAGCCCTTAACAACTGCTGGAGACACTTTTGTTGATTAAAATTCGCCGGTAATCGCTCTCCTTTGGCATTGAACATTAAATAAAAGCATGTCTACAAGTTTAGTATTAACGTCTTGCATCAGATCCACACCATGCTTTCTGAGCAGAGGAGAGAGGGCTCTGTAAAGGCTTAAATGGAAGAAAGGACCAACACAGAGGGATGCAAACTAAAATGAGCAAATGATCAGCTCACCACTTGGCTTTTGTGAAGACACTCCAGTGGAAATTAGCGTGCTCTCCATTGAGGTCACATCAAGAAGGCACCGGCTACAACCTTTGCTGTGTCCAGAATGCTGGTGTGATTCTGCGTGTGGTCCAGTAGACTCTGAGGATGCAGAACACAGGGGGCTGCTGGGTGTTGAAAAGAAAGGGCAGGTGCATGGGAGGGTTCATAACCCCAGAGGCGGCTGCTGTGCTGACAACTCCTGCGGCCCCCAGTGTGAATAACATACCCTAGAGCTGTGCAGTGAGCAGCCTACACACCCCTTGGTACACCTGTACTGCGTTGTCTTTTGTTGAGCTGCACAGCGGGGAGATATGTCTTCAGTTTGAGGAGAAACCAAGCCAAAGAAAAGTCAATAAGCCAACTCCCATCACAGAAGACAAAGGGGACATATGTTCCTCTTCCCCACTCCATGGATCTGGCACTAAGGGACATCAAGTGAGACACAAAGGCAGTAATGATTGCCAGTCATTAGTGGTTAGGTAGGGCACAGCTGCTGTTGACCACTGACTCAGGGTGCCTCAGTAGAGAGGGGCAGAATCCAGGGCACACTGCTGGGCACAATCATACCCCAAGCATGGCTGCAAAATGGATGCCCCTCTGATGTGCATAACGAATAGCAGTGACCTGGGCTGGGGCTCAGGTGGGGCATTGAGGCAGCCATTAAACATCTATTTCAGGACCAGAACGCTGACCATGTCCTTGGCTACAGAGGCTGTAGGTCCCTAATCCCCAGCATTCCTGTCAACAGGGTAAGAGCACAGGCCACACATTCTGGTTAGTACTGTCCGTTTGACACAACCTAGAATCACTTGGAAGAAAGGCAGCTGAGATTCTCTGTGGGATATAATCCTAAGTATGCTAACTGACGTAGGAAGACTTGCAGACTTGCACGTTGTGGGTGGCACCTTTCCCTAAGCAAGGGAATCCAGATTGCAGAAGGCTGGAGGAATGACTCGCATGGATGCTTGCTCCCTGCTCTTACCTGTGGATAGAATGTGACCAGTTCTCTCGAGCTTTACGACCCTATCAATGTGACTTCCCTGTGATAATGGACTATAGCCAGAAACTGTGGGCCAAAGAAATCCTTCCTCCCCTAAGTCATTTTGTTGGTGTATTTTATCACAGCATCAGGAAAGGGAATTGAGATGTCATGCAAGGCTAACAATCTGAGTTCAGGCCCCAGAACCCACTGTGGAAGGAGTGATTTGTCCTCTGACCTTCACATACACCTCCACACAGGCATATGCAAGTCTGCAACCTCACACATTCACACGCACGTACACACAGTAATATATAAAATTAAATATAAAAAAATTAACTGTAAAGGAAAACTAATAAATAATTGAAAAGTATTTACAGGGCTGAGACCCTCCTCTTAGCCTATAGGCAGAACCAGGGTGTGGTCAGAGCAGCAAGCACAGTAACTGCCCTCTCTAGCCCTCCACCATCCCCAGCTTCTCCACCTTTCCCAGCTCCTCCACCTTCTCGATCTCCTCCCCTCCTCCTCTGCCTTCCTTAGCTTGTCCCTTCTCTACCCTGTCCCTCCCACATACACACCCTCCATCCTCCCCAGGCCACCCCTCTTCTTCTTCCAGGAGAAAAGGCCTCTTGCACTGTCGATGACAAACTCTCAGCCAAGCTGCGTTCTGTTCCAGTGTCTCCATCTTTGCTCTTAGCACAGAAAACATCAAGGACAGAATAAAACTCTCTTCCTTGTCCCTATTACACGGTGTGTGCTTTTAGCGGGAACACAAAATTGATTAGAAAACTTTTCTGCCGCAATGACTCATATGAACACACAGAGGGAAAAAGCTCTGCCTCAACCCATAGAACTGGAGAGAGGCCTAGAAAGAAGGCAGCAGATACCAGAGCTACTCTCGGAGCTTTGTCCAGGACACCACCCTACATCAAGGGCAGGGGAGCGTTTTATGGAGAACCAGATGCTAACTGCAGTCATAGGTACCACTGTGATGAAGGCAGCCAAAGGCACCGTGTAGATACAAGGAGAGATGGGTCCAATGACATCTCACCATCATAAGTGGCTGTAGAGCTCTTGACCCACAGGGCATGGTGTGCCCACTGAAGGGAAACCAATGTACTGGAGCATGTGGCTCTGCCAGGCCTTGCCCTTCTTCACAATTCCCTCTGCCTTGCTTAAAAAAAAAAAAAAAAAAAAAAAAAAAAAAACCATTAGATTACGTTCCTGAAGCTAGCCCCCTATTTGGCCACTCCCTTCTCCTGAGGCTGACTACCACAGGCCAGCTATCAAAGTATTGAAATCCGGCAATCAGAAGCCCCCTTTGGCTCATCTAATTATATGCCCAATCAAAATTAAACACTTCATCCTAACACGGGGTTTCCCCCTTTACCCTTATAAATTCATCATTTGCGTGTGTGCCAAAAGGAGACAGTCCTTTGTCCTCAAAAAAAAAAATACCTCTGCCCATTTCCCTTGTTTGCTTCCCCTTCTCCCTCTTCCTCTATCTCCAGTCTTTGTCTTTTATTCCCTGCCTTCTGTCCTTCTGGGGTGAAGAAATCTCCTTTGTGCTGAGAACTTGGCCTAGGTGGTCCTGAGAGCCGATACTCTTCCTTTCACCCACCTCTCTGTCCTCACCCTCTGACACCCGCACATCCAATTATCAGAGACACTGTCACCTCGGCCTAGGACACCTCTCACCTGGCAACGGTGGCACGCAAATCCAGAGGTGGTAATGACTTCAGGAAAAAGCCACAGCGCCAGTTTTTCATGACCTGGTGCAGAAAGCTACGCCTTTCCCACTCAGGACACTGTCAGGGCAATCTCCACTCGCCGAGAGACAAAACCTCACTCACTGCCCGCAGCATCCCTCTGAATAACAGCCCCGGCAATGGAATTAGCATGCCGCATCCCAGCACCTTCCCCAGCATCTCTGCCCCCAAACAACCCAGGCAGCAGGCTCACAGTGACAACATGAGAATAACTTGTCATTCTGGTAATGGTCTAACTGCAGATAAGTGTCTGTCATAATGAAAATTGGTCTCTTCCGTTTCAATTTATTTTGTCAACAGTCTGAACGAAGCCGGGATGTCTCTTCCGACACCACGGCTTGCACACCAAACAGGAACAAAACTCTAAAAACGAGCCTCATTATCAGTTGACTAAATATTTACATTAAAGAAGTCTCTTCTGGAAGCTGTCCCGGGTCCACTGTGCTCCTGCCAGAACACCTGCAGCTTCTTGTACCTAATTAAGGAACTCCAAAAAAGCACATTTAAAAGGGTCTCCGCAAACAGATGCACAATCCATTAATTAAAAGCCGGAGCAATCACCCGGGCTGTAATTGGAAAATGTGCTTCTCTCCGTTTTAAGGCAATCACGGGTGTTTGCAGATGCTTTCCGATGGTTTCTCAGAAGAACAAGAAGCCTAGCAGCAGGCTCTGGCTGCCTCTGGCCGGCGGGGCAGATGTTTGGGAAAGGTCGGCGATGGGGGCAAACTCATCCAGACTCCTTAATTAGTGCCTCCGCCTCGCCCTCTCCCTCCAGAGCACTGCTAATGAGAAGGGGAGGCTTAAGTGCTGAGAAAAGGAAGGTGCTTGCTTTTTCGCTGCTGAGGATGTAAAGATAGACCCATGCGGAACACTCCGGGTCTCCAATGGGGGAACACACTGCCTCCTGCCATGTCCCACCATGATAATGGAATAAACCTGAAATGCCAGCATAATCTTTGTTATCTTTACCCCCACTGTAAGCCCCAGAACCTCCTGCCCCTCTCTAATTGTAACTTTACACTCACGGCCTGCCCTTTCCTGTCCCTATGCCGGCCCTCCTGTCTCTAGATCTGATACCCAGTGTTCTGCTCTCATCTTCTGTGCGATCTTAGGGTCCTCATAGGAGTGAGACTGTGCAGCAGCACTCTTTCTGTGACAACTTGTGTGCTCGCTAGTTTTCTGTCATCTGAAAGAGGGGAAGCTCAATGAAGGCAATGCCTCCAACCAGGCAATTGGTGGCGCACGCCTTTGATCCCGACACTTGGGAGGCAAAGGCAGGTGGATCTATGTGAGTTTAGGACAACTAGGGCTACACAGAGAAACCCCGTCTCAATAAAATAAAAATCCAGCTATAGACAAGCCTGTAAGGCATTTTCTTAATTAGTGATCAATGGGGGAGGGTCAACCCATTGTGGGTGGGACCACCCCTGGGATAGTAGTCCTGGGTTCTATAAGAAAGCAGACTGAGCAAGCCATGTTCAACAAGCCAGTAAGCAGTTCCCTTCCATGGTCTCTGCATCAGCTCCTGCCTCCAGATTCCTGTCTGATTTGACTTCCTGTCCTGACTTCCTCTGATCATGAATTGTGATGTGGAAGCGTAAGCCCAACAAACTCTCCGCCCCACCCCAAGTTGCTTTGGTAATGGTGTTTCATCACAGCAATAGTAGCCCTGACTAAAACAGCTTAGCCCCCTTAACGTGATGATCTACATCTCAATCCATGACAAACGGCAGGACATGGTGTATGCGCCACAGTGCTTGCCCCATACCAGCTGATGGACATTCGGGTTGTTTGCATTACGTAGCCATTTCGAAGGGTGCCAAGTGAATAGGGATGAGGCTTCTTCTCCTTTGGATGGAGTTACTGGCTCACAAGCTAGTTCTCTTTTATGTTTTGAGGAACTTCAGGTAGCTTCTCATAATGGCTGTACTAACTTCAGTTGCCACCAGTAATGGAAAGGTTCCCTTTGCAGCAGATCTTCCACGGTGTGTCTTCTCGAAGTCACCTTTTCTTACCAGGTGAGGTGATACCTTCCTGTAACTTCGACCTGGTTCCCCTGGTCACTAGAAGTGCTGAGGAGAGTCAAGCGTTGACATTAAGGATCCACGTATGCAAAGTAGGACCCATGTTTGTTTGCATTGTTCTGGAAAACTCCATGTAAGGGCACCACCCCGCCCAGCCCCAGACTGCAGCAATTGCACCTGCAATTGGAAATGAATGTCAGCTTTTTATTTGTGCTTCCCTTTCCTAGGAATCCTAGCAAAGCTGGGTAGGCAGACTTGGGTTTACTCAGATCTTGACCAAACTTAACCTTATTGCTATCTTTCACTCAAATTTCTGACAGAATAAGCAAATAAATAACTATAAGACAGTCCCATGGGAGCTGAAGAGATGGCTCAGCAGTTAAGAATATTTACTGCTAGCCGGGCGGTGGTGGCACGCGCCTTTAATCCCAGCACTCTGGAGGCAGAGGCAGGCGGATCTCTGTGAGTTCGAGACCAGCCTGGTCTACAAGAGCTAGTTCCAGGACAGACTCCAAAACCACAGAGAAACCAATAAATAAANTAAATAAATAAATAAATAAATAAATAAATAAATAAATAAATAAATAAAAGAATATTTGCTGCTCTTCCAGAGGACCTGAGTTCAATTCCCAGCACCCATGTTAGGCAGATCAGAGCATCTGTAACACCAACCACTACAGAGGATACAATACCTCTGGCTTCCATGGGCACTTACACTCATGCACACACACACACACACACACACACACACATATGCATGTGCATGCATGCACAATTAAAAATAATAAAAGTATACCTTTTTAAAAAGGCATAGTCCCTGCCCTGAGAAATGTACAGTTTGGTTAGAAAGATGAGCCCAGGACAGATTTCCGCCAGTGCTTCCCTCTGCCTTGGGCATGGGGAGAGCCATGAGTTCCAGGATCACAGCTAGAAAAACGTGGAGACTCTGCTTCCTTGTGAAGCCGCAAAGAGAAGAGTTTTTCACTAGCCCGTTTTCTTCTCTTAACATAAGCAAAAGGATAAAGAATAATAAAGACTCCCTTACTGCGCCAATCCACCAATATGTTCCAGGTTGTTACTGAAGCAGAGCTTAGCGCATCCTAACAGTACATCAGGTGTGCCCTTCACTGTGACTTTGACTCTAAACATGTAGTTCTTATTGACTATCAATAAAATCTCCAGAAGGCCAAATAGTGTCAAGTTATCTCTACCTAAATCTATTAAATTACATTATTCTAAGATTGTGGGGGCTGTGCAACTTGCACAGGCCCTGGTGAGGGGCAGGGGGCTTATGGAGGACAGGCTGTTGTATAAACAAAACAAACAAAAACTGAATCATTAAAACACGAAAACAGTGAGGCATAACTGCTTATACTGTAGTCTTGCAGCCAGAAAGTAAGGTGAAAAGAGGCATTAAGATAAGTATATGGGAAAAAAGACAAAAAGACACCCCTCTTCATCAAGGCCATGGAATTGCAGATGTGCAGAAAGAGTATGCACTGTACAAATGTCCCATTTCCCAGCACAGGGCTCATTGAGCTTAAGACCCGCTTCTCGAGCTCTCTGGCCTATTCCTTGCTCATGAGTGATCTCTTGGGAGTTGGAGAGATTGCTCAGTGGTTAGATGCGCTTTCTGCTTCTGTAAAAAGACCCTCAGTTCAGTTCCCAGCCCATATCAAGCAACTCATAACCATGTAACGCTAGTTCTGAGAGACCTGATGCTCTCTTTAGGCCTCCTGAGCACATGTGCACAGACGCACTCCTGTACACATTGGGGTGGGGGCTGTGGGTAACCTCAGAGGCCTAAAGAAGGTGTTAGATTCCCTGAAGCTGGAGTTACAGGCAGTAGGGAATCACCTGACGTGGGTGCTGGGAACTGAACTCTGCAATAGCAGCAAGTGTTCTTAACTACCGAGCCAACTCTCCAGCTCAGTCTTTTTCTTAATGAGCCGTCTGTTTCTCCCACTTTCCACGTGTCTCTGCTTTCAATCCTTGTTCTAGGACATAGTAACCTGCAAATGACCAGTCATGGTGGTACAAACCTTTAGTACCAGCATGCAGGAGCCAAAGCGAGTGATTCTCTGTGAGTGTAAGGCCAGTTTCATCTACATAGTGAATACCAGGCCATCCTGGGCTATATATGGAGACCCTATCTCAAAAATGAATAAATAAGTAAAGAATTTGGAAATCCCAGAAGGGGCCCTCCAATCCAACATCCAGCAGTAATAATACACAAGCTTCCGTGGGCGCACGGCTCTAATCCCTTAAGAGCCTGAATTTTAAAGAGCCCTGACATCCTTTCCTTCTGCTTCCTCCTCAGTGAGTGTACACATCTCACCAGTCAACATGTTTCTTCTGTCCTTCCCCTCTGCTTCTCACCTTCCCAACTCTGGGAACTAGGCTTCAAAAGGGCTGGCAAGTCCCCTTAGCCATAACCATAGCCCAGCTACAACAGAAGGTTCTATCCCCTCTAGCTTCCTTCATGGTCTATCACACACCATGGTGGGAAGGTGGAGGAAGACGCAGGTGCAAACAGGCACCCCTGCTAGGACAGCCATGGCCAAAGCATGTACCCTGTGCCTGTTGAACAAGGCTCCCACTCAGACTGTGGAGACAACATAGATGTACAGTTGCCAAACTAACCCCATTCTGAGCCTGGGGAGCTACTGGGCTCTTACAGGCAAGAAGTTGTGGTACCCCACAACATATTCAAGGAGTACCTTGAAGGACACTGTCTTAGTCAGGGTTTCTATTGCTGTGGTGAGACACTGTGACCATGGCAACTCTTATAATAAAGGCAAACATTGAGCTGGGGTGGCCTGCTTACCACCAGAGGTTCAGTTCATTATTGTCATGGTGAGGAACAAGGCAGTGTGTAGACAGACAAGGTGCTGGTGAAGGAGCTGAGAGTTTTGATCTGCAGGCAACAGGATGTGGCATGAAACACTGGGCCTGGCTTAAACATATATGAGACCTCGAAACCCATCTCCACAGTGACACACTTCCTCCAACAAGGCCACACCTTCTCCAACAAAACCACACCTCCCAGGACCACCATACCCTATGAGCTTGTGGGTACGAATTACCCACAAGCTACCGCAGACACCGTGATGTCTATTTGCTGACCAACTGCAGGTGAACAGCCCAAGTCTTCCAAAGATGCTGGCAGTCATGTGGATAATCAAAAAGGGCAACACAAGTCTAAGGGCTCAGAATGGGGCCTGAGGAGGGAGAGATGCTGGAGCTAGGCAAAGGCTGTCTAGGTTTTGTACAGCTTGTGGTGGTTTGAATAATAATATCCTCTATAGGCTAGGATACTTGGATGTTTGGTTCCCAGTTGGTGGATTGTTTAGGAAGGATTATTGGAGCAAGTGTGTCACTGGAGATGGGCTTTGAGGTATGAGAAGCCCACAGCAGTCTAGTCTCAGTCTCTCTCTCTCTCTCCCTCCCTCCGTTCCTCCCTCCCTCTCGCTCTTTTCCTCCCTCTTTCTGTCATGTGGATCAGATGTAAGTAAGCTCTCAGCTACTGCTCCAGCACCATGCCTTCCTGCCTGCCACCATGCTTCCCACCATGATGGCCATGAACTAACCCCCCAAAATTTGTAAAAATTATGGGCACAGAATTCTCTGCCAAAAGAATATAAAATAATTTCAATAAAATTGTGGAAAATGTCCTAAATCTAAAGAAGAGCTGTCCATGCAGATAGAAGAGGCTCACAGAAAACTACATATCCAAGATGAGAAAAGGAACCTCCCGTGTGGCTTTACAGTAAAGCACTACACATTTGGAAAAAGAAAATATACTGAAAACAACAAAAGAGGGGCCAAGTTACATGTTAACATGCACCCATCAGAACCGCTGGATTTTTTTGATGAAAACTCTAAAATCCAAATAGATATGAGAAATGTACCTCGAATTCTGAAAGATTACAACAAGTCAGACTGCTATATCCAGCAAAACTATCTCTCATAATGGAAGAGGAGGAAAAGAAAAGCTTTTCATGACAAAAGCATGCTAAAGCAATTATGAACATGAAGCCAGCCCTAAAGAAAATACTAGAAGCAATGCTTGGAATGGAAAATAATGATAAATCCTAGAAGCTGCAGAGAAAAATATGCTGAAGTGTTTATTAAGCAAATAAAGACTAAGAAAATGCCAAACACCACAAAATCTCTGGCATCAACACACATCTTTCAGTAATAATTCTGAACACCATGGCTCCAACTCACCAGTCAAAAGGCAAGGACTAACACATTAGATCACAGGACCCCTCTTTCATGTTGACTCCAAGCAACATGTGTTCCCACTCACAGAAGACACCACCACAGGGTAAAATGACAGGCAAAGGTTTTCCAAACAAACAAACAAACCCAGAAACAAGCTCAAATCATCATGTTGATACCCTGAAGGCATCAGTCACAAACAATCCAACACCAGTTTGGAATTATGATTAATAGAATGGTTATTTATTTAAGGGAGAAAAACTTACAGATCACCGTCCCAGACAACAGCCCTCTGCACAATCAGGAAGGGAGCCTAGTAGCAGAAGTGGACTGGGAAGCCAGAGAGGGAGCGGAGGGAAGTGGCCGCTTTTTTAAAGGGAGAGAGACCACGCCCCAATGGGCTGGTATCTCAGTGGCTATTGGCTGAAGGAGCTCCCGCAACAATACCCAACTGTGCTGGTTGATTTTGCCCACAACTTGACACAAACTAGAGTCACCTAAGAAGAGGAAACCCCAGTTGAAGAACTGCCTCCATCAGATTGGCCTGGGAACATGTTTGTGAGGCATTTTCTTGGTTAATGATTGATGTGGTGCCACCCCTGGGCAGGTGGTCTGGGTTGTATAAGGAAGCAGGCTGAGTAGAAGCAGAAAGCAGGGCAGTGTACATTATTCCTCTGTGGTCTCTGCTGCAAGTTCTGCCTTGAGATCTTGCCTTGGCTGCCTTGATGATGATGGGCTATAACCTGAAAGCAAAACAAGTCCTATCCTCCCCCGCTATTGATCTCCTCTCCGGCCTCACTATGTTTTTCTCCCCCTTTTAAATG